TATAATATAAGCTGGACAGTGGTAGCTCACAAATGTAATCTGATCTACTCAGGAGGCTGAGATCTGAGGATCGTGGTTCAAAGCCAGCCCAGGCAGGGAAGTCCGTGAGACTCTTATCTCCAAATAAATTACTCAGAAAAAACCAGAAGTAGTGCAGTGGCTCAAGTAGTAGAGTACTAGTGCTGAGCAAAATGAAGCTCAGACCCTGAGTTCAAGCCCTAGGACTAGCTAAACAAACAAATACAATATAAGAAAATTGTCACAAAATGAAGAGCTATTCATTGTATAATAATACAAAGAACTTATACAGTCTTAAACCAGTCTGGGAACATAAGGGATAGTGTCTGTCTTAAGTTCGAAGGGACAAAGCGCTCTTTCAAAAAAAATAACTGAAATCCTCTAGAGGCAGGTAAGTGGTTTTACTGTGCAACTGCAAAGAACAAGATGTTCTGTTTTCTTCTTCACCCTTTTCTCTGAAGGATGAAAAATACATTTTTTTTCTAATTAATTCAAGAGCAGCAGGGGTTCACATTTTTTTCCTTTCTCAGGCGACTTTGCCTTTTTATTGCCAGGAGAAGTTTGTTTGATTTTCCTTCACATACTCTAAAGTGTTGTCACCCAGCCTGGTCCTAACAATTTTCCCCAGCAGGAAGTACAGAATAGGAAAAGCCCAGGACAGAATGTCAACAGGGTTCCTGGGTTGCTGACCACTTGAGCTTCTGGATGCAAAAAGAAAAGGATCTTGAAATCCCAAATGCCATTAGCTTTCTGCAACTGTGAGAGAGAAACACTAGAGCTTAGTTTGAAATGCATGGGAAAAAAACCCAACACACACACACACACACACACACACACACACACACACACGCACGCACGCACGCACGCACACACACACGCACGCACACACACACACACACGTAGAGACTGAACAAAATCCCATGCCCTGCCTTCCTGGCTGGGCTAGATTCTATAAACCCGTGCTTCCCGGATTGCTGGTTAGGTCTGAGATGGAATTTTCACACACACACACACACACACACACACACACACACACACACACACACACACTCTGAGATGGAATTTTCACACACACACACACACACACACACACACACACACACACACACACACACACGTAGAGACTGAACAAAATCCCATGCCCTGCCTTCCTGGCTGGGCTAGATTCTATAAACCCGTGCTTCCCGGATTGCTGGTTAGGTCTGAGATGGAATTTTGTTCAACTCCAGTGTACCAGGTACAGCCCACCATCAGGTCTCCAGAGCCTGGAGGTAAAGTCTCAGCAACATGGTTGCTTGTACAAGGCCAAATCGGCCTCAGGTTTATCACCTGTGAACCGGGGTTTATCAATGGTCTGCACCTCAAAGAATAGGTAGAAATATTGGATACCAAATACCTCAAGTATTTATTTTCACCTTCTATGTGTTAGGGACTCCACTAAGGAGTGATTAAAAGGGCCTCTCTTGAGCTAGGAGCATAGCTGATCACACAGAAAACAAACATTTCAGCAAGTAGATATTTTCATTCCAAAAGCTGTAGGGACTAGGCAGAAAAGAACCAGGTTTGCTGCAGGATTATGCAGGAGGATACTCCCTCCTCTAGATTCACTTGTCAGGAAAGGCTAGAGAGTTAGACTGACTTTTCCTCTATGTGTGTGAGTCTTGGATGGGTAGATGCACTGGTGGAGGAATGACTCTGAAACTCAGAAAGAAGCACCAAAACCAGACACAGAGCTCAAGCTACCAGTTTGTAGGTGCAAAAGATGCACCTGTCCTATCTTGCTGTGAGCAAAACTATTTTGTATTGTTGCTAAGAGACCATAGCTGAGTGTATTGGCCTTGTATTTTGTGCCTTGGGGAATAGGGGTGAGTTTCGCATCTCTCTTCTTTCTGTGGGGTTAATATTTAGCTAAGGAGCATTTATAGAACAGATAATGGGGATGAATCATTTTTACTCCTGATCTCCGGTGCCTTCTGCATTCCTCCCTCCCACTGATGCTCCTTAGAGCCCTGGACAGAATCAGGTACCCTATTACACAGTTTCCTGTGAGGAGTGGACATTTCAGCGTATCCTCAAAGAAATTTCTAGTAGTTGGTTAGGATGGATGAGGAAGGAAACATGACTGACTGCCTAAAATCTAGGGACCTGTTCATAGATACGATATGGTAGCCTTGGAAGGGTTAGGCCAATGGGAAGTTTGCCAGTGAACTCTGGAGCTGGGAACATCTGTCTTAGGTCCCCAGAGCTGAGCTACCACACTCCATAAAGTGTTCAGTGAAACCAGCGGTAGCCACATCTTGAGTCCTGTTGCATTTTCATGAAAAGTGGGAGAATGAATAGAAACCATCCAGTATCACTTGGCCGGGATTGGTGTCCAAAGCGCAGGAGCCCTGAACAGTGATTCTGTTCTTTTATTTCTCTCCACCCTGGCATGTTTGACTTCCTGTGATCTTGCTTTGGCAGGGGTGGGGTTCTGGCATGTCAGTCACACGTGGTGGTGTCTGGAGGGACCATTTTTGACAAGCCACACGCTTCCAACTGTAAAGCTGTGAGTGAAGCTGCTTCTGTGTCAAAGGCCTATTGCCCATTTGGCCAGAGCATCCTGAAGGTGACTGTAATCTCCCTGGACTCAGTTTCCCTTGCCAAGGGCCTGGATGTAGACACAAGAGGTGTCCTGTGGGCAAAAATTTAATAGTTACGGAACGCATTCTATAGCTTTTGATTTTCCCATTCCTAAATCACTTGACAATTGGGAAGACAATACGAACCCAACAGGGCATCCATCGGCACTCAAAGCAGGTCCCATTTCTGTCCTTGCTCAGAGCTGGATTGAAGATGGATGTTCACGTTGACAAGCACCATCCAGATAGATCTAGAAGAGTTGACCTCTGCTCTTCTTTCAACCATCCCCTTCTGGCTTCTTTCTGTCATGACGACCTCACGTCCAGATTCACTGAGCACAACCCTTTGTCCTAAAAGCCTGTTTTTGCAACAAGGTGCTACGTAGATCCTGCAGGGGTGTCGGTGAGGACAGACCTGCTCTTTGGATGGAGCAGCTGCGCATCGTACCTGGCCATCATGCCATCATGTATTCTTTGTCAGCCCCCCCCTCCCCCCGCCCCGAGACATTTCATGCCTGCAGAGACTCTCATGGGATGCAATTTATCTCAGAGACAGCTTTTCAGCAGAACCATGTGTGCTTGAAATCTGCACTGATACTCTTACAGTCTTTTTAAGAAATGTATTTTTCAATGTCTTTAGTCATACAAAGAAAAGGGTTTTGATTCAGCGCACCATTTTCTGAGCACGATGCATCTTGATCAACGCTTCCACTTCCGTTCTCCTCCCATCTCTCCCAACCCCCCTCCCCTCCAGCTACCTGGTTCCATACTCACAGGTGCCACGAGTGTAGGTTATAGATTATGGCTGTATCCCCCCACCCTTCCTCTCTCCATTGGTCTGCCCCACTCTCTTTTGTTGTTCTCATTTCTCCCTGCTCTGATTCTCTAGGAAGAGCAGGCTTTTCTCAGAGTAGAAAGTAAGTAAGAGGGGAACTAAGTAAGTTCCCCTCTGCTTTCCTTCGTCCAGAAGGGTGCCTGGCACAGATCTGTCAACCCGGGGGAAAAGTCCCATGTTGGGAGCTCATTGCTTTCAGTAAGCATATAAAGGAGAAATAAAACTGCAGGAAGGATGAAGAGGGAATACTACAATCAGTTGATCCCGCTTTGTCATTGACATGCTGTGAGATCTCAGGCAAGTTGTTTCCCACAACCTGAGCTTTTCTTTCCCAATATAGAAGTCCATTTCCAAGTTCTCTTCCAGGTTGGCATTCCATTACTCATCCAAGCTCAAGGCTTTCCTAATCATCTCAGCTCTCAGTCATCTTCCTCTCTGACGTCTCCACCATGTCACCATTCCTCGATTCTTTTTTGCATGATCTTAGAGCGCTTTGTGTGTGGGCAGTATATGTAAGCAGCCTTGCTTGAACAAACGGGGGGTGGGAAGGGGAACGCGTTGAGGACAAGGCTCTCTGTTCTGAATCTTTCCACCTTCAACACCATCTCACTACATTCTCCCTAGAACTCGGTGAACTAGATAGATAACCAGCACAGAGATCCCTGTTTTATAGGTGAGAAAATGGGAGGTTTCATCTGTTTGATTTCATAGAGCCCTTTAGCTCTAGATCTGGTACCCAGACACACTGATAACTTCATGTTCCGCATGGACGTTTCCCCTTCTTATATAAATGAAGATTACAGTAATATCTACTCCAAAGCATTGTGAGCATCATGTACTGCACGCGAAGGACTTAAATAACATAATGGGGCTCATGACAATTAACGATTAGGACATAAGATCAGTAGACAGAGGAGCCTTGCCCAGGGTGAGCCTTTCTTTTTTTTTTTTTTTTTTCGGTCGTGGGGCTTGAACTCTGGGCCTGGGCGCTGTCCCTCAGCTCTTCAGCTCTAGGCTAACGCTCTACCACTTGAGCTACAGTGCCACTTCCGGTTTTCTGGTGGTTTATTGGAGATAGGAGTCTCACGGTCTCTCCTGCCCGGGCTGGCTTTGAACCACGATCCTCAGATCTCAGCCTCCTGAGTAGCTAGGATTACAGGCGTGAGCCACCAGCGCCCGGCTCTTTTTTTTTTTTTTTTAATGTATTTTAAAACTGTTATTGTTATGGTGATGTTCAGTTTTTTTTTTTTTTTGAGGGACGAACATGTTTAATCTGATGCTGTATGTTAACAAAATACTGAGGATACATATGAGCAAAGCAAAATAAAAACAAAAGGCTAAATTATAGACCTTAAAAACTGGAAAAGACATGTACTTTAAAGCCAAGTAGTTGTGATTCTGATTATTACATGTGACATAATCTACAGAAAAAAGGCCAAGAAAAGAACCTTCATATTGTGTAGTACTTAGGCTTGATGATGTCCTAGGAAGAACAGAACAGTAATAATTCAATGAATGTGCCACATATACAACTAAAAAGTCCCCTTGTGATTTGAAATGAAAATTTAAACAATCTTCCTTGGCTAATTTTCTTGTGTCAAACAAACCTTCTATATACAGGACCAATTTAAAACCCTCTTTCCCTTCAAACACTAGATGTGGGCATCCGGGAACATTCTACAATGCAAAGTGCCTTAAGAAAGAGGATTCTGTAGTGCCAGTGACATAACTGATCTGAGGAAGCTGGGAGGTTGTGAACACTGATGGGAGCTGGTCAGGCAATGGTAGTTTGTTTCTCCTCAGGTGTTTCCTCCAGCAACTGCATGATTAGTTCATGGACGGGCTTGCAGATCTTTGCATAGCCCCCTCCTGTGAGATGCAGAAAATCAAACATGTCATGACAGGAAATGGCACCGTCCGAGTGAACGAAGCCCCCCTCTGTATCCAGGAGCTGCACATTAGCAAGCTTCGGCAGTGAAACCTTGAGAAGTTGGTTCACCTTGGCATTCTTTTGCCTCAAAGGGTTGGGCTTCTCACCTCGAGGTAATAAACCCAATACAATGATTTTGGCCTGTGGCTGCCTGGTGTTGATGAGCTGTACAATGGCCTCAATTCCACCTGCTACTTCTTCTGCAGTATTTTCATGGTTGGTTGTTCCTACCCAAACAACAATGACCTTAGGTTTAATGTTCTCCAGTCCTCCATTCTTTCGTCTCTACAGAACATGTCTTGTTGTATCCCCTCCAATTCCAAAATTAAGTGCATGAAGTGAGGAGAAAAGTTCTCGCCATATCTCATATTGCTGCATTAACTGTATCATGGAGTCTCCCACAAACAGTATATCAGGCTCTTTGTCTTTACAGTCCAAGACGAATCTATTGTGCTGAGACATCCATCTGTCATCACCTTGAATGTCTTCTGCTGCATGTGGGATAGCTGCTGGGTTCGAGTCTCCTTGGCTCATTCTACACACAGGGAGAGGATCCCAGCGGGCCCCAAGGGGCTGCGGCGTCGGCGGGTGACGTGTCTGTCGCTTGCTCAATCTCGGCGGCCCCGCTCCGGCGCGTCCCTCCTCGGCTCCCAGCACCAGCAGCAGCCTGATGTTCAGTTTTATAAGTCAGGTAAAGAGTACATTTCTTTTTGGACAAGGTGACTCTTGCCCTTGCTCTTTCCCAGTTTTTCCCTCCCGCCCCCACCCACAAGTTGTATAGTTCATTTTCAACACAAACTCATCCATCAGGAAGAATGATACCGCACCTTCGTAAGGAAATGGACAGTCTTCGGGGGAAAAATTATATTAAGTGAAATAAGCCAGAGCCAAAGAAGCATAGGTTGCCTGATTTCCCTCATTTGTGTAACTAGAACATGCGTCTCCTGTCTTCACCCGTGTCTTTTCTGCTTTGAACTCTCCCACATTGGCCAAATCAGATCCTCCTGAGCTGCTCTTACTTGATGAACACAACGCTTCCTCTTTGGAAGATGAGACACAGATTCATGTCAAAGGTTAGAAGAACCAGTGGGAGGCACTCTTATTAGATTCTTCTTTAGACTTGCTTCTCCCGGTGCCCTCTAAATCTGTAGTGAAGCATCAAATCTTTTTAAAATATGATCCAGACGGATACTTTTACAACCCACAGCAATACTAACGTGCCGCTGGAAGTTTCTAGATGCTCACTCTTAGTTGTCTGTTTTGATGCCATTTTGAATCAGTTCAGAAATCATACTTCCATAGCACTGGCCTGTCTAGTGCCATCCTTACAGGACAGACTCATCATGGCCTAAGTTATGACCTTGTCTGACCTTGGAATGCTCCTCAACCCAGAAGACAAAACCAATTCATAGCATAGTTGTTAGTGTTGTCTTTGAGGAGACTAAATTTTTGTTATTTTATCTCCCTGAGACAAAGTCCTCCTGAGCTGCTGCTTTTTAGCTAAATCACATGCTCAGGCTGGGAAGTTTAATTAACTCGCTATAAAGTACAAGATTTCAGTCTATAATTGTGGTGTACTTCATCTGGCAAAATCCCTGATAAGTAAGGGATGTAGTGGAAGATGAGGGTTCAGAGTCTGATTAGATGGTGGTGATTTTTCTGGAGGATGAATGGTCTTAGAAGGCATCAACTTTGATCCTGTGGTGCTTTAATTAGGAAACAGAAGTGATGGGATAGAGAAATTAGTAAAATTAAAGGAGCACGATTAAGGGGAAGCCAGAGGTGGACAGTGAGCCCTGGGTAGACGAGGAAGTACCTGCACTCACCTCACCAAGGACTTGGTAGTGTAAAGCATTTCTCCCTCTCTCCTCTCTCTCTCTCTCTCTCTCTCTCTCTCTCTCTCTCTCTCCCCCTCTCTCTCTCTGTCTGTCTTATGAAATCAAGTGGTTTTTTAATTTGTTCATTCATGGAACTAGCAAATATTTCTTTAATGCCTTTCTAGCATGTTTTCTAGTCATTAAAGACACATTGATAAGGAAAAAGCTAACTTTATTTTTTTCTTTTCTTTCTTTTTTTTTTTTTTTGCCAGTCCTGGGTCTTGAACTCAGGACCTGGGCACTGTCCCTGAGCTTCTTTTGCTCAAGGTTGGTACTCTACCACTTGAGCCACAGCACCACTTCCAGCTTTTTCTGTGTATGTGGTACTGAGGAATGGAACCCCAGGGCTTCACGCATGCTAGGCAAGCACTCTACCACTAAGCCACATTCCTAGCCCCAAAGCTAGGTTTAAAGTCTATTAGAGGAAAATGCACAAGAATTTGAAGAATGGTACTGTATTGAAACATAGGAATAAAGCTGTTTTGTTTTTCCTGTTGTAGCCTGCCTGTTGTACCTGAGCTTTTGTGCTCAAGGCTAGCACCCTACCACTTTGAGACATAGCACCACCACTTCTGGCTTTCTGGTGGTTCTTTGGAGATAAGAATCTCATGGCCTTTCCTGCCTAGGCTGCCTCAGATTTCAGCTTCTTGAGTCGTTAGGACAACAGGTGTGATCCACCTGTGCCTGGCAGGAATAAAGTTTAACTTGGTCTCTGGGATGACACAAGGATTTTCTCCAGCTATCTAGCTATCACAGGGAGGAAAACAGCATATGCAAATACCTTGTGGTATGGAGGAGCTAGGTGCGTTTAGGCATGAGGGAGAAAATACCCAATATGGTTGAAAAAGTGAGTATGGGAAGGAGGGGGATTTGAAGGGGAGACTCTTATCCAGAAAGAATTCATCAAGACCCTGGTAGACCACAAGCTTGGCTCCATTATCCCAAGTAAAACGCCAGCCCAGCAAGGGCTTTAAACAATGCTGTGATGAGATTTCTCTTGAAGAATGAGTTGAAGCTGGGTGCCGGTGGCTCCCGCCTCTCATCCTAGCTACTCAGGAAGCTGAGATCTGAGAATCGAGGTTCAAAGCCAGCTCAGGCAGGCAAGTCCTTGAGCTTCTCCTCTCCAACGAACCACCCGAAAGCCGGAAGTGGTGCTGTGAGTGACTCAAGCGGTAGAGCGCTCTCCTTGAGGAAAAGAGCTGAGGGACAGCGCCCAGGCTCAGAGTTCAAGCCCTACAACTGACAAAACAACAACAACAACAGCAAAATGAATCAAGCTTCTGTGTGGAGAAATGAGAACCTGGGTGTTCCATGGGCTTGAGTGACTGCTGACTGACCATCTGAGCTAAGATGGCAGTAGTAAGAGGTGAAAGGAAAGGGTTAAAAACCATAGGCATGACTTGGAAGTGACAGAATGGGCCAAGAGGAAGAAGGAGGAGAGGAAGTGTTCCAAGTTCTGATCTGAGTGATGGATGAAGGGTGGGTGAGGTGCGGAATGACATAGAGTTGGTTGGGAAGATGAAGGACTCTACTTTAGAGGCCTTATCACTGAGCTCTGTGGGGCATCTGATCAGTCCACATAGAAAGCACATAGATGTATTTGGAACTTCTAGAGTAGCCTTTTCACACCTTTTATTTCTTGGTTTTTCTTTTCTTTCTTTAAAAAAATTTTTCTATCTGCTTTCTTTTGCCCCAAACGCTTGCTGAAATTCCCTTTACAAGAGAACCAATTCCATTAACAAGGGCTACACTCTCATTTACTAATTACTGCTCAAAGTTCACACACCAACACACGGAAGGCTGGTTTTTCAGCATGTGAATTCTGGGGCGAGGTAAGCACTCAGCCATTGTAGTCTTTGTGAGGTATCTTCTGGAATGTTCTGTCTTAATACAAAACTGGGATCTCTCTCCCGATAACCTCATCTTGTGTGGAATTAGGTCTCTGTTTTGAGCCGTACAGCAAGGCTGTTCTTCCTTCCCCATCTTATTTATTTCTTCTCTGTTCACAAAGACTTGTCCTCTACCCACATCATTTCCCTTCATCCTTTGCAAGACCTCAAGCCATTCCACTTAGAACTAGAGCACACGTTTCCTGAATCTTGTTCAGCGCTTTAAAATTTCCATGTGGTTACAGACATTCCTTTCCCCAGGTGAGTTAATTAGTCCTTTTTTATATCTGGAGAAATCTATGCTATATGTTTAGATCTTTATCTATATACAGAAAGATAAATAGCAGGGAAACAGCAAAAGCAAAACAGAAAATCAAGCTGTGATTTCTTAAGAGAGGTGCCAGGGTCCAGCGGTTGGGACAATGGGGTCTGGATGTAGACTGCACACATCCACATAGTAGTTCTGCCTCTTCCTGGCTCGGTGAGCTCAGCTGATTAGCTCTATCCTAAGTCAGCTGACTGAATTCACTGTAGCTAACGGGGACAAGGTACCACCATCTCGGCCATGTCCGTGCAGCCCAGAGAGGCTACTATCTTCTGATGTTCCTAACATTAACGCCATCATCTCATTTAATCCGTAGAGCAACTCTAGAAAGCTGGTTCTCTTATTGTCCTTACTTTATAGGCATAGAACAGTGCCATGGGGAATTGTCCCTGCAGCTGGCAGAGCAGGGGCTCCAGCTGCCCCGCCGGATTCCCGCCCACAGTGCCTTTCCACCTCAACTTCCTAATTCCATCTTCAGGGACCTTCACAACCTGCCCGCTTGAACGACTCACCTTCCGTCCTTCCACTGTGAGCCATTTGACTTCGCTGACAAATGCTTATCTTGGAGACAGTCCCTGCCGTCTTTACCTGCCCTCCCTTATGTGGGTTATTAAGATGGGAGCTTGGCTTACAATGATGGATGGCCTACACGCTGGCCATTTGCTGCCTCTCCTGGCTGATGGTAAATATTTACTTTTCGTTACACAGGAACAATGAGGTTTCATACTGGAGATGGATGTTGAGTGAGTGAGTGTGTGTGTGTGTGTGTGTGTGTGTGTGTGTGTGTGTGTGTGTGTGTGTGTGTGTATAATATCATGCTTTTCTGATTTCTTTGAATACTCAAGTCTCATTTCCCTGGTTTACTGAGGAGAGGGGGAGGGGGCATAAGGTAAGTTGTTTGACTTTTCAGAGGACGCCCAGGAGGTCTTCTTGTGTGTGTGTGGGGGGGGAGGTGGATTTCTTTTTTCTTACTGAAAGGGTTAGAAACTCAGGGCTCGGAATCACTAAAGATATATTCTTGAGCTGTTGCACATATAGCCACAATTGCATTATTCAACAGTATACCTTAAATTGACTTACATTTCAAACACAGGTACATAATCCAGCCTTGCCCTACACAATGTCCCCCAAATTATGGATGGGATACACTAATTGTACTAGTAAATACTGCAGTATGTATGTCACTATTAGAATAATATATATAGTATTCCATACATATAATATATGTAGTAATCTATATACATAGAATACAAATGGAGAGTACATAGAGTACAAATATGCACAATATAATGTATTACATATATAATATGTAGTACTATGTATAGCATAATACTATATACCATATTATATATAATACTATATGTAATATGATGCCATATATACTATATATGATATATGGCTCTCAGGAGGCTGAGATCAAGGTTTGAAGCCAGCCTGGGCAGGAAAGCCCAGAGACTCTTATCTCCAATTAACTATCAAAAAAGCAGGAAGTAGAGCTGTAGCTTAAGTGGTAGTACACTAGCCTTGA